GTGCTGGGCCTAATTCTGGGGAACAAAGACATATAGGTGCTCGAAGTGGCACTGGGGAGCATTTTAGTGACAGTAACCACAGCACCATACATTTCAAGTTTGTTATAGGAACAGCTACTTCTGAGTAAATCCACAGCAGAGGTTGGGGGCAGTTTTCAACATGGAATTGGTTAGAGTACAAGCCCAACAAGTTCCCTTTGGGGCAAAATATTGAAGCAACAGGTTCAGAGATCCCTGGATGCCTAAGAATATTCAGGATTGGATAAGAAGACAAAGAGAGGTTTTTAACAGGTATGCCTGGACAAGCAATAGAGAGTAGGGCTAAGAGTGAAATACATCCATATAGTAAAATAGTTAGTGTTGCTCAGGTAGTCCAAATTCGTATTCATAAATGGGAACAGTTAATTGTTACTTAAGTTTCAGAGAAGATTTGTATAGCTTAAGATAGTCAGGCAAGTATTACTAAGGGAAGGCTCAAGCCTTGCTGTGAGCAGATGGTGGAGACTGATAAGCTGTGAAGATAACGTGGAAGTGGAACTCCAGTTGAAATAACAGGAGGAAGGATGTTGTGAAATTTGAAAGGGTTCAGGAAAGGTTTACAAGGATGTTGCCATGGTTGGAGGGTTTTAGCCATAGGAAGAGGCTGAATATACTGGGGCTATTTTTCTGGAACTTCAAGAGGCTGAGAGGTTTATTAAATCATAAGGGGCATGGATAGGGTAAATAGACAAGGTGTTTTCCCCAAAGCTAGAGGGCATAGGTTTAAGGTGAGAAGGGAAATATTTAAAAAAGGGACCTAAGGGCAATTTTTTTCACACAGAGGGTAGTGCGCATACGGAATGAGCTGCCACAAGAAATGATGGAGGCTGGTACAATCACAACATTTAAAAGGCATGTGGACGGGTATATGAATAGGAAGGGTTTAGAGGGATATGGGCCAAATGCTAGAAATGGGACTAGATTAATTTAGGATATCTGGTCACCTTGGATGCATTGGACCGAAGGGTCTATTTCCGTGCTCTATCTCTATGACCCCATAATTTAGCACTCTGCAAGAAACTAAACTGCATTCTGTTTTTTCAGTAAATGATTGACATGTAGTTTAATTTATACCAAAGTTGCATGTAACCATCATGACATAAAAATGGAGAACTTGGAGAAATAAATAGTGGTATCTTGAAAAGTGTCCATATTACAGAGGATAAGGTGCTGGATGTCTTAAAATGCATAAAACTGGATAAAACCCCAGGACCTGATCAGGTGTATCTCAGAACTTTGTGGGAACCTAAAGAAGTGATTGCTGGGTCCCTTGCTGAGATATTCGTATCATCAATAGCCACTGGTGAGGTGCTAGAAGACTGGATAATGGCCACTTCGGTGCTATTATTTAAGAAAGGTGGTAAGAAAAAGCCAGGGAACTACACTGAGCCTGACATCAGTGGTGGGCACGTTGTTGGAGGGAATCCAGAGGGACAGGTATTTACATGTATTTGGAATGGCAAGGATTAATTAGGGATAGTGTTTTGTACATGGGAAATCGTGTCTCACTAACTTAATTGAATCTTTTTGAGAAAGTGACAAAGAAGTTTGATGAAGACAGAGCAGTGGACATTGTCTATATGGACTTCAGCAAGGCATGGACAAGGTTCCACATGGTAGACTGGTTAGCAAGATTAGATCACATGGAATCTAGGGTGAGCAAGCCATGTGAATACAAAATTGGCTTGAAAGGTAGGCGATAGTGGGTGGTGGTGGAGGGTTGTTTTTCGGACTGGAGACCTGTGACCAGCAGTGTGCCACAGCAATCAGTGCTGGGTCCACTGCTTTTTGTCATTGATATAAATGATTTGCATGTGAATCGAGGTGGAATGGTTAGTAAGCTTGCAGATGACACCAAAATTGGTGGTGCAGTGGACAGTGAAGAAGGTTTATCAGCATACAACAGGACCTTGATCAGACGGGCTGATGGGCTAAGGAGTGGCAAGTGGAATTTAGTTTAGAAAGATGTGAGCTGTTACATTTTGTAAAGGCAAATCAGGGCAGGACTTAAACACTTAACGATAGGGTCCTGGGGAGTGTTGCTGAACAAAGAAACTTTCCGGTGTAGGTTCATAGTTCCTTGAAGGTGGAGTCAGAGGTAGACAGGGTAGTGAAGGTGGTGTTTGGCACACTTGCCTTCACTGGTCAGTGCATTGAGTGTAGAAGTTGGGATGACATGTTGTGGCTGTACAGGACACCGGTCAGACGACTTTTGGAATACTGTGTTCAATTCTGGTCTCCCTACTGAAGGAATTAAGTTGCTAAACTTGAGAGGGTGCAGAAAAGATTTACAAGGCTGTTGCCGGGGTTGGAGGGTTTGAGCTCTCGGGAGAGGCTGAATAGGCTGGGGCTATTTTCCCTCAAGTGTTGGAAGCTGAGGAGTGACCTTATAGAGCCTTATAAAATCATGAGGAGCATGGACAGGGTGAATAGTCAAGGTCTTTCTTCCCAGGGCAGGACAGTCCAAAACTAGAATGCATAGGCTTAAGGTGAGAGGTGAAAGATATCAAGGGGACCTAAGGGGCAACTTTTTCATGCAGATAGTGGTGCGTGTATGGAACAAGCTGCCAGAGGAAGTGGTGGTACAATTAAAATTACCACTTCTCACAGGCAACTAAGGATGGGCAATAAATGTTGGCCAGCTAGTGCTGTCCACGTCCCATGAGTAAACAACTCATGACCTTTTTCATCTACAAACATATGCTGCAAATTTCTGGAACATATCATTGATATTTGATGAGACATATGGATATCTTGAAGGTAAAGATCCTTATTCACAAATTGCATGCCTCCTGAAAAGCTCGATCAACAGAATCACAATTTATTCTTAACATCTATAATCTGACCTTCCTTGATGCATTCCAGATCTAGCTATTTAGATTTTTCCAAGGCTAGCAACTGTGTTTCACACAAAGCTACTGAATAAACTGGATCATTATGGAGTTTGAGGAAATATTAAGCAATGCACGACCACATTTCTTAGGAAATAGCAACAGTTATGCTGAATGGGAAGGCTCAAACTGGAAATCAGTGTCAAGCATATTTGTTTTTCATCATTCGTCTTTATAACTGACACCCAGGACGGAATACCAGGTCAGATCAGACCGTTTGCTGATGGCTGCCTAGTCTGGAGAGTCATTCCTGGAGCAGATGAAATAAGCATTCAGGAAGACCGACATAATCTCTACACAACATAGCGAATTTGAACATTATGCAAATCAGCAATACTTGATGTCATTCAATACCTTTTGCTCTAATTGATTCACGGGATGAGGATGTCACCGGTTCAGACATTCATTGCCTGTTTCCTAATTGTCCAGAGGGCAGTTTAAGAGTCAACCGACATTGCCGTGGATCTGGAGTCACATGGAGGCCACACCAGGTAAGGGTGCCAATTTCCTTCCCTAGAGGCCATCAATGAAGCAGATGGGTTTTACCCCAACAATCGATAATGGACTCCTGGTCATCATTAAACTTTTAATTCCACATTTTTTCATTGAATCCTAATTCCACCAAACATCGTTGATGGCATTACCTAGGTTTCTGGATTAATAGTCTAGTGATAATACCATGAGACCATTGCCTGACTTCTGTACCCAATACCCAATGTGATGCATGATTCCTCCCTTGAAGTTATTAAAGAATGCTGTAACTTAGGAATCCATATTCAAATTAATTTACATTTGCAGATATAAAGTCAAAACACTGCCTCCATAAGGCATCCAATGTACTCGGGCTGGTGAAATGGAATTTCAAACACTCTTCAAAGGAAATGCTGTACCAGATCTTGGTTACATCAAAGGTAGAATACAGTATCACCACATGGCAACCACTTTTGGGGAATTTGTTTTCTCACAAAGACTGCAAAATACAGTGTGAAGGTCTTGCCATCTCAACCTTTCCCCTAACCTGGGGTGTGGTGACCCTCAAGTTAAACTCACCACCAGTCTTCTCTCTCCGTAATGAAAAAAAAGCCCTAAACATGTTACTAGACAGGCACAGTTTCCAGAACCAAAGAAAAACCTAAATTAATTATTAAAAATATCTAAACAGTAACATTACCTCAAAAGGGATTGAACTCAGAGTTCATAACAGCTCCATACACTTTCCCCAAAGTTCCTCCTTTGCTAGATCCTTTCCCCAAGTAAAGAACTGGACAATCCCATGGGATTTTAAGGAAACCCTTTTGATCTTTTCTGGTGACCATCGACTTTGCTCACTGTGCACATACCCCCTCTGAAAATTTCCCAGTGGAAGACTATGGAAAGAAACTTTACAATATGCAGTACCAAGCAAGATGAAAACGTGAAATAAATATTCCAAACCCCTGATGAAGTCTTTCACATAAGAAATTGCTTTATCTGCTAGAACTCAATTTGCTGCCAAATGTTTTAACATTTAATTGAACCCAACATTTGGAAAATATGCTATACACCAACTCTGTACTAGGGCAACATGGTGGCTCAGCGGTTAGTGTTGCTGCCTCACAGCACCAGGGTCCTGGATTTGATTCCACCCTTAGGTGAGTGGTGTGTGTGTGTATGTGGAGTTTGCACGTTCTCCCTGTGTCTGTGTGGGTTTGCTCTGGTTTCCTCCCACAGTCCAAAGATGTGCAGGTTAAGTAGACTGGCCAAGGAAAATGCACGGTGATGGGGCGTGAACTCAATGGGCCGCTCCTACACTACGGGGATCCTATGCCTCGAATCTGCTCTTGCCGCATGGTGCCTGGGCCACCTTCTTACACCCCTCCGAAAAAAAAGTTCCCATCAAAACTAAATACGACTCCATACGTTTATACGTGATCAGTGAGTCTTTCGTTTTATAAATGAAATCTCAGTTGTTACTAACACATTCATATATTTGTGTATATTTAACATTAGATTGCAGAGATGTTACTTTCCCGTGACCGAGGTAGTTATGCGCCGGGCGGACAGTGAGATACAGCTCTCAGGGGGCCCCAAGTAGTAGGAACTGTGCTCCTGGGTCACGCGCAGCGGCGGAAGAAAGAGGGCGCGGACTCTATCTTGGAGACGGCGCGGTTGCTATGATGGAGGCGGCTCAGGCCCAGCTGAGGGTGTTGGAGCTGTACAGCGGTATCGGGGGTATGCACTATGCGTTGAAAGGTAAAGTAGCGAGAAAAGGAAAACCCACTCAAGAACCATGTTGCAAAAGAGCTGCAAAAGTCTGAGGGAAAAAGCAATAATAACAACAACATAAATTGTCAGGCAGCATTACAGGAACTCGAGAGTCCACTTTCCTATGCCTAGACCCTTCATCAGAAATGGGAGGGGGGGAAGCGAGAGACGGGAGCGCAGAAATAAATAGAGGAGGGGTGGGGCTGGGGATGGTAAGTAGGATGGTGATAGGTGAGTGCAGGTAGGGAGTGGTGGGGATTGGTCAGTGAGGTGGGAGGGGCGGATAATAGGAGAGAAGATAGGCAGGTTGTGTCAGGTCAAAGAGGTAGGGATGAGAGGGAGGGTTGGTCATGGGATGAGGAGATTTTAAAACTGGTGAATTCTATGTTGAGGCCATTGGGCTGTAGGTTCCTGAGGCAGAATATGAGGTGTTGTTCCTCCAATTTTCGTGTGGTGTCATTGTGGTGTGGAGCAGGCCCAAGATGGACATTTCACCCAGGTAGTGGGAAGGGGAGTTGAAATGGCTGGCAACCAGAAGGTGGTGTTGATTGGAGTGTACAGAGTGCAAATGCTCTGCGAATCGATCACCGAGTCTGCACTTGGTTTCTCTGATGTAGAGGAGACTATGTTGGGAGAAACGGATGCAGTAGACCAGGTTAGAAGATATACAGGTGAATCCCTGTCAGATATGGAATAATATATTGGGGCCTTGGATGGAGACAAGAGGACAGATGTAGGGGCAGATGTGGCACTTCTTGCAGTTGCAGGGAAAGGTGCCGGATGTGTTGGGGTTGATGGGGAGTGCGGAGTGGAAAAGGGAGTCGTGGAGAGCGCGGCCCAAGATATGGGTGGGGAGGGGAATATCTGTTTGGTGGTGAGGTCTGATTGCAGGTGGAGAAAGTGGCTGAGGATGATGCATTGGATTTGGTGGTTGGCGGAGTGGAACCCGACAACCCCAGACTGGATTTTTCTGTATTCTACAGTGTTGTTTACATGCCTTTGAGGAAAGTTACTAGATCTTTGGGGGTGGGGTTAGTGGCGAGATCCCCATGGGAATACCAGGTATTTCCTCCACCACCAACGTTCAGTAGTAGCAGTGTGCATCATCTACAAGATGCATTGCAGAAATCCACTAAGACTTCTTAGACAGCCCCTTCCTAATCCACAACTGCCTCCACCTCAAAAGGACTAGGGCAGCAGATATATAGGACCACTACCACCTGCAAATTCCCCTCTAACCACTCCACCATCCTGACTTGGAAATATATTGTCAGTCCTTCAGTGCGGTTCAAGAAAGCAGCTCGCCACCACCTTCTCAAGGGAAGCTAGAGGTGGCCCAGCTACATTCTGTGGGCAAATGAAAAAGAAAATCATCTGTTGGGAACTTGGAAAGGCATAAGAAAAAGACATTAAGATGTTCACCCATAGTGGAAGCATCAATAGAAATGCAACTGTCCTACATTTGTAATTAACTAAAGGAATTGTCACAATTCGAGAATGGGCATAACAAAGAACAGTACATCACAAACAAGTCCTTCGGCCCACCAAGTCTGCGCCAACACATGACGCCTTTCCAAACTAAAAAAACTTGTCCCTCTATAGTGCCTGTTTCCCTCTATTTCCTGCCTATTTATGTATCTCTGTGCCTCTTAAACATTGTGATTTTAACAGCTTCTACCACTCCCTCTGGCAGCACTTTCAGGCACTTACCACCCTCTGTATAAAAAACGCCCCTCACATCTTATATTCCCCATTGTTGCCAACTTTTCCCTTTCTGTCTTAAACCTGTAAGGTTTTTCTACTATGAGATAGTAAGAATTGCCGATGCTAGAGTCTGAGATAACAAGGTGTGGAGCTGGAGGAACGCAGCAAGCCAGGCAGTATCAGAGGAGCAGGAAAGCTGACGTTTCGGGTTGGGACCCTTCTTCAGAAATGGGTGAGGGGGAAGGCAGCTCTGAAATAAATAGAGAGGAGGGTGTTGGGCTAGGGAAGGTAGGTGGGATGATGATAGGTGAGTGCAGGTAGGAGAGATCCACTGAGGTCTTTCTGGAGGGAGGAGGATAACTTCTTCA